ATCAACATGTTATCTACATATAAACATACCATGACATATCCATTTGGAGTATTCTTGACATAAACACATTTGTCGCACTCGTTAATTTTGAAACCATTTGATATCATAATCGTGTCAAATTTTTCATGTCATTTCTTAGGAGCCTGCTTTAATCCATATAGTGATTTAACAAGTCGACACACTTTCTTTTCTCGTCCTGAGGCCACAAATCCTTCAGGTTGCTCCATATAAATTTCTTCATCTAATTCCTCATTCAAAAAAGCCGTTTTAACATCCATTTGATTCATATCCAAACCATTCAATGCTACTATTGCAATAAGCATACGTATGGAAGTAATTCTTGTCACAGGAGAATAGGTATCGAAATAATCAAGACCTTCTTTTTGCTTGTAGCCTTTAGCGACAAGTCTTGCGTTATATTTGTCAATTGATCCATTCGCTTTCATTTTCCTTTTGAAAATCCATTTACATCCCAAAGGCTTATTACCGGGAGGGAGGTCTACTAATTCCCAAGTATGATTTTGTAGTATGGATTCAATTTCACCGAACAGTTTCTTTCCAATATGAAGTTTCGGTTGATGACATAGCCTCTTTAAAACTTTAAGGTTCATTTTCTAACAAGTATGTTAGAAAGTCAGGCCCAAAGGAGGTTGACGTTCTAGCACTCTTACTTCGTCTAGGTTGTTCATTTATAGATTCTTGATCTATAGTATCTTCATCTTCACGAGATCTCCTTTGTGAATTTGATTCACCTTGCATGTTATAAGGAAAAGTATTTTCGAAAAATGTAGCATCCCTTGATTCAATAATCGTATTAACATGCATAACAAGTATTTCAGACTTATATACCACAAATCTGTACGCATTACTATGGTAGACATAACCAATGAATACACAGTCAATGGTTTTAGGTCCTATTTTAACCCTTTTAGGTTTGGGAACTACTACCTTAGCCAAACATCCCCATACCTTCAAGTATTTATAATTAGGTTTCTGACATTTCCATACTTCATAAGGTATCTTATGCCTTTTTCGATGTGGTAGTTTGCAGAAAGCAAGGCTTTCCCCCACAAGTTCTGCGGTAATCCAAAACTTATTAACGTAGCATTCATCATCTCCTTCAATGTTCGATTCTTGCGTTCAGCAATACCATTAAATTGAGGAGAATAATGCGCGGTAGTTTTATGAATAATTTCGTGTTCCGAACAGAATTTCTCAAATGGTGAATCATATTCACCACCTCTATCACTTCTTATGGCCTTAATCTTTTTACTAAATTGATTTTCAACTTCTAACTTGTAGTTTTTAAACACTTCAATTGCTTTGTTTTTGCTTTTGAGCAAATACATATAGGAATATCGAATATAATCATCGATAAAAGTGATAAAGTACTTATTACCTCCCCTAGTTTGAATAAATTTTAAATCACATATGTCAATGTGAATTAAATCTAGGGGTTCGGTACTTCTTTCAACGGAATGAAAGGGTAAACGTGACATTTTGACTTCTAACACATATATCGCATTTGTGATTAGGATTTAAATCACAATTTGGTAATAAATCTAATTTGATTAGTCTACGCAAAGTATTATAATTTGTATGTCCTAATCGTTCATGTCAAATGTTAAATGATTCAAGCAAGTAAGAAGAAGATGTATTTTTATTCATAATTGGAGGTACAACAGTCATTACATTCAACTTAAAGAGCCCCTCATTTAGGTAGCCATTTCCTACAAACATTTCATTCTTTGAGAGTATAAATTTGTCTGAGACAAATACTAGCTTAAACCCGTTCTTACTTAGTAGAGAACCAGATACCAAGTTTTTCCTAATATCGGGCACATGAAGAACGTCATTCAAAGTGAGCTCTTTTCCACTTGTCATTTTCAGCACTATCTTTCCATGTAGAAATGTTCATTATGATCCATCGTTTTGTAGGTAGAGAACATCCCACAGTTTGAGCATATGTGACAAGTAGCTCCAGTATCCACCCACCACTCCTTAGTATTTCCAGCTAAGTTGCATTCAGAGACGACCGCAGAAAGATTCATGTCTTGTACCTTATCAGTGAGGTTCTCATGTTTTGTTACATTGGCCTGGTGAGTTTTTTCCTACACATTCTTTGGCTTTCGACAATCCTTGGATCAATGTCCTACCTTGCCACAATTGTAACAATTGCCTTTAAACTTTTTAGCAGTTTTTGAAGAACCAGTTTGCCCTTCACCATTGTGCTTCCTCTTTTTGCTAGTCTTGAAGACTCCTTCTACAATGTTGGCTTTTGATTCCATCGAATGAGATGCACCATTTCTTTTTTCAGTTTTGCGATTGTCTTCTTCTATTCTCAATCGAACAATGATATCTTCAAGTTTTATTTCCTTCCGCTTGTACTTTAGGTAATTCTTGAAATTCTTCCATGAAGACGGTAATTTCTCAATCAGTGCAGCGACTTGAAATGATTCACTTATTTTCATTCCTTTGGCATAGATGTCGCTAAGTATGATTTGAAGTTCTTGAACTTA